TGTGTGTGTGTGTGTGTGTGTGTGTGTGTGTGTATGTGTACTCGCTCTTTCAGTCACCCATTTTCAACTCGAGAACCAGAAAAGCTAGAAGGCTGAAACTTCGAGAACACATGCCCACACCATGTGTGACTCCCACCCACTTTAATATCATCACCTGCGTACGCCTGAGTCCCAAGTACGAATGCCTTGAAAAAATATGCACGTTTTTTGGCGGGAAAGCGATTTCGGAAACTAGACAGGATAGAGAGTTGAAACTTTGTAGGGGAATTCTCTGTGCACCTTTAAGCTAAAAATTTCAAATTCATCCTCCAGGTTTTCGTAGTTCTCACGTGTAGGCATGTGAAAGATTTGGCGGGAAAACTGCTAACTCGGTAACCGAAAAGCTGGAAGACTAAAATTTTAAGGGAATGCTCCCTATCCACGTACAATTTAAAGATTTCAAATTCAACACTCAGGTACTTATGGTTCTCACGCATGGGCATGTGAAAGTTTTAGCCTGAAATTACTAGTTCAGGTATCAGAAAAGCTGGAAAGATGAAACTTTAGGGTAATGTACCCGGTTCAACTACAGAACTTAAAGATTTCAAATTCAATCTCCAGGTACGCGTGCTTCTCACGTATGGATGCTTAAAAGTTTTGGCGGGGAAACTGTTCACTGAACAGCCAGGTCATTTTCAAGAGATGGCCGCTAAAAACAGAAACTGTTTATTTTCCTTGATGCAAAAATTACGAAGATTTAGGGTAGTGAGTGCACAGGATAGGTGCGGCAGTAAGCGCATAGGGTAAGTGTGGAGCAACAAACATTCATACAGTAGACTTGATTGCTTCATGTTTGGTGCAGAAACGCATAAACGCATCGGTAAGCTTATGCGTTTCAGCCTGGATTATTCGTGTGTGGGTTGCACTGTGCAAGGTCGTGGGAACGTGATTTTCATTAAAGGGCTGTGAAAATTTCATCCAGGAAAGATGCATAATCCAGAATTTTGCAGATTTTGGGTTTGGTGGATCAGTTTTCATACACTGATGTCTCGTATTTGGTAAGATGCTTCCCTCATGGTTTGGTGGTGGTAACTCCCGGTGGATGATGGTGTTATCAGTGATATCTCGGGACCTTGCCGAGTGTTTTTCTTGGAAAAGAGGGGAGAAGAGTGGGGGACGGGAAGGAGGGAAGAGCAGGGGGTTGACTGAGCTGGTAGCTCCTTCAGGAGACAAAACTGCTGTCAAAGTGGGGTTGACTGAGCTGGTAGTTCCTTCAGGAGACAAAACTGCTGTCAAAGTCGCCAACGGCTGACCACCGGCCGGCGCAGCACTGGTCAAAGCAATTGGAAAAGCTGCCAGCTGCAAAGCTGGAACACTAGCTTATTAACTAACAGCACACTTTTAAGCAATGTAACGATAATTTCCAGGGCACGACCGAGTCTGTGGCGCTGCACAATGTTATCGGTGGTGCACCGCTGTGAATGCATTTCACGCCGTCTCAAATTTGTCCAGTCCACGCAGGTTCCACCAAAACCTGTTAGTTTTTCATTTTGTTTTTTCATTCTTTCATCAAAAACCTTAGCGATTTAGCTTTGATTTCACGTTTAATCAAAATTTTAGACCTATCGTCTTTCTGACCTCTGTTCTCAGTCCTCAAAATCTAGCCAGTGTCACATCTTGAAAAGGCCATGAACTTGGATTTTACTGGGCTTTCAGTACCAGCAGTTAGAATCTTTCTTGTTACTTATTTTGTCGTCACCTCTGACCCCCCAAGTTCTTTTTTTTGTTGTTACTTTACTCTTTTCTGATTTCTGTCCCCTAAATTTGCTATCCTTCTGCTTCTTGACTTCTGTGCTGGAGTCCGATATTCAGCTGGTAACTACCGGAGCTTAATATTACCTGGCACCATTCAGTAGCGCTTATTGCGCATCGGCTTTCCCATGTTTGTGGCTTACATCAGAATTAGGATGATGTAAGCATTTTACTGTGGTGCTGTTGACCAGCTTTTGTTTCGTTGTTCCGTTCCTTCTCACCACCGGTGCGATTTGCGATTTCTCCGTCCTTTGTTTTGATTGGTCTGTTCCCTATCCGCATTGTGCTCTTTTAACATCGGGCGTATACCGTTCAGTAATCCGCTTTGTCTGTCTGTTGTCTCTCATTTTTACTACATTAACAACAGATGCTTTTTTTTTTTGATATTGGCTGCCTTGATGATAATGGCGACGCCAGATACCACAGTATGTTGTTAGGAATACTCGTGAACTTACTAACTTCTGCATCTTACTTGGGCAGCGTATCGAAGTAAATTACTGGGCAAAATTTTTGTCTGATTATTGCCAATTTTTTAGGTTATTCCACCACTGCTCGATCCGTCAAAACCTCGAACACCATATATCAAAGCAGCAGTATACCTGGTTGTAGGCATTGTGAGTTTTGTGCATATTTTTCAATTCATGTAGAAGGTCTTGACTGTTATTTCCGTCGGGAATCGCATCGTTCAGATCGAGATGGTAATACCTAGCACGCAGGAAGGGCACTTCGATTGTCTGAAACCTTGCCGAATACTTCTTCGGGAGTTGACAGTCTGAATAGGAGACGAAGCAAACGTCAAGATCACCAGAGATTGCACAAGGCGATGAAGCAACGACAGAAAGATTGCCAGTTGCGCGGGCGAAGAACCGGGCTGTTCCAGCCGTTTCAGATTTATTTGTTGTTTAGGCCAGATACCAAGCTTGGCCGCTCGTGGGTATCGTTTGTGAGTAATGTTACTGGGATGTTCCCATACTCCCGGTGCTGATATGTTATGCCCCTCAGTCCTGGGCTGCATACCTCCCGTTAGTGCCCATCACATGTTCAATGCGTATGTGCCATCTCTTCGGAAGTTGTTCTCAGGCGAAATAGCTTCGACAAACGTAGGTTAAGTGATTGATTTGTCAGTTTGACTTATCATTATAAACAGTTGCAGGTTAGTCTTCGATTAATCAATACGGCACTGAATCGAGGTGATGAAGCGTTTTGGACATATTTCAAATCGCATGCTTTTTCTTGGCCTCAACACTACAACATCTTCTTGCCTCAGGACAAACTGGATGTTGATGATGAAGACGAGAAAAAGACGGATTTTCTTTTCTCAGAGGAGGAAAGAAAGGAACTTCTTTTGTGTGACTATTAAACTGAGCATGTAATTTGTTGATAACGATTTATGGCAGCAAAGCAATGAGAAATCAAAAGTTCCCCGCATTTTACTTTTCGCGGCGATACGGTAGAGCGGCACTATTTTGCCAGTAGAAATCACCAATGATAGGGCTTTTCCGAGAGTTATTTTGACTTTTTGGCATTCCGGGCACAGGTAATATCACTTTGCCGCCCTAATAGGGCTGGTTTTTTCGTGACAAATTAGATCTTTGACTCATGCTTTTGAGTAAATGCTGCTTCTGATTTCTTCCTTGCATTCTCATTACTCTAGCCTCTGCGCGATTTAATATATATCATACGCATGACGAGTGGAAGGCTGTACTGATGATTCCCATTCCTATCCATATGCTGCTTTCGATCTGTGTTTATAGCTAAGGGATGAAACACAAGACTGCTTCCTAATATGTTCCTTTTGCACGTGATATTTAAGTTGCACCTTTATTTCCTATTTTAATATTTCATTAGTCCTTCCTTCCCTCTTTGTCCAAGATTTTTGATTTTTGGGCTTGTCTTCTAAACTCGGGCAAGGCGTGAGCGATGCACTGACCTTAAAAACAAGTTGTCGTTGCTCAGTTCTTTATCTAATACTACGACATAAATGTATTACTTTGTATCTTGCAGCTTGGACGTAACACGAAACATTGAATTCCACAATGCTGAATTTAGCTTTAAAATTTTAAAGGAGTGAGACGTCCTTATCCTAACCGATACTGCCATACATATATATCTTTACATAAATACATTTACACAGATGTTTTTGATCTCTTTCCATTTGTAATTACTATTTCTCTGTACGTTTTTCATTTGCTTTACTTTTATTCACTTGCATCTAGTTTTGTTTTTTGTGATAATAAACGTGCCACTGCTGTCACTATTAAATCTGGTGTCAATAGTATTTTTGCCATCTTTGTTTGCGATTCGATATTGATTCAGTTGTGGTTTCCGAGTATCACTTTGGGCTGATAATGAATAGGGACCGAATGAATGTAATCCATTATATTTTCGCATACGTGGGCCATGTGAAAACAATTTTTGAAGTTGGTCAGTCTGGTTTTTGTCACCGCAGATGCTTTACTTCCAAATTAAGCCAAATTGGAGAAGTGTGTGAATTGTTTCTGAACAAGTTCCGACTGTATTTTTTTTACTAAAAATAGTTTTTGCTTTTCTCTTTTTCTGAAAAAAGGAACTCGAAATGGAAGCATTTTGCTAGCAACAGCCACATACTGGCAAAGCTACCAGTACTGCCTTTCACGATGGTTGCCTGAAAAACTGGCTGGGCAGATGAAGTGTACTAGTACCAAAAAACCGCAGAGGATTGCGCAGAAGTTGTTTTTTCATAACGGTGGATTCAAAACAATGGTATGAGCCTGGAACTACTGTTATCTATCATTATAAAGAGCCTTTGATTTTTTGTGCAGAATCTTTTTTTGATACTTTCTATGCAAATTGTGTCTTCAATTGCTGTCATTAATGATGATTTGTCAGTGATATTGCTTATTCACAATAAAATTCTGTTATCGATAGAAGAAAAGCTAAAAGCTGTGCAGGCGCAGCTCTGTTGCAAAAGTCAAAATCTCCTTGTTCATCCTTTATGAGTGTGAGGTATTCGGGAATACACTGAATGGCGGTAGCGTGTGCCATCAGCAACCACGTGTTAGTAAATCTATCGATAGTTACCCCTTTCGAAAACGGCTTAGAAGCAGCAGACTGCCAGTACTAATTTACCATCGTGACGAATGAGCGAATCACAAAGAGACTACAGCCAGGTTTAAATGGAAATGACGCTGTGCTTTGGACACAAGGATTCTAGGATTTTCAATGTTTATTATTATATTTACTAACACTGTTGGGTACAAATACAAAAATTGTGATATTAATAGTTGCATTTTAACGTGAAAGCTCCTATGGTAATGAAACCTGAATAAGCTTTTTATTAGCAGCGGTGACCGCCCTCACGGGATTGCCGACGTTTTTTCCAAAAATTATTGAAGAAGCAAATTGGGGTGCACCCTGTAAAGTCAGTCTTGAAATGCTGCAAAGCCAGTCTTGAAAAATCTTCCTCAAGCGTGTGCAGAGAGGCTATGTGGATTTTGGGGATTTTGTCCAAGAATTTCTTGATCTATCCTCATTTTCTTTCAACATACTTTATCTGCACATTTCTTTCAGAAACGGCACTTTAAAAACTCATGTTTTTTTTCACGAGACTGATTTTGCAGGTTTCTGAGCTTAACAAATAAACAAATTCTAGTATAACAATGTTTTTACACTCAAAAATGCACTGACCGTAAATAACTGTTAAATTTGAAATCACATACTGGACGGTGAAACTGGCCTAATTAACTTTTGCACATTGATGGAATCGATTGGTATGTAAGCGGATAAAGCTGATTCCAGACCGATTCATTCCAGTAACATCACTAACATGGGATTCTTACTCCGATTTTTCACTCTTTTTATATTCCAGGTGTATAGCTAAAATCGTTTGCACCAAAACTGATGGGAGCTGACCATGATTTTTATACTATGAAGGCAATATCATATACAAGTTTTCTACATACTCCCGGAATGCACACACTAAAAACTGCTGCTATTTTTTGATGTTTTAGCTCTTGCTAATCCATAAAAATTTTTTTTGATAGGTCTTTCCTGTACAGTAATTTGTGATTTCAAATCCCTGAGTGTTTAAATTAGTGGTGTATTTCGGCTCCAAAGTTGAAAAACCGCTATGGATATACACATTGCTATGTAGCTGAAGCAGTGTTATTAGCTTCCCCCATTTTTGAAAAGGCAGTTTCAGTTTTGTTCAAAAATCAGATTCTGTGGATACTTTTTGGCAATTCTGCTGTTGTAATCAGGCTCCGATATGTTGAACATGCCAATCATGCCTTTCGATCTCCTCGGACAAAAACAGTGTATTCTTTCGTGTCCTGAAGCTTAATTTGCATTAGCAGATTGACTCCTCGATTTTTATGTTGAAAAGTCTTAAAAGAGGTACTAGAATCGGATGCGACTGCCACTTAAAACCGCAAAAGTGGTGCAGCTTACCTCGTTTTTCCCTCGTTTCATAATTTTTATAAAATGAACATTAAAAATTCCTCTGGGCTGTGATTCTGGTATCTATTTACAAAACTGCTACTGGCCTTCTACTGCTGGATTTTTTTCATCTCAGGCTTTTGCAGCAAATGGTTTGAAATATCATAGTACCTGGCATTCCGGTCTTCCCTGGAGGGCCCTGCCTGCCTTGCTTACCCGTTTGTCCTTCCTTTCCGGATGGTCCACGTGGTCCAGGAGCTCCAGGAATTCCATCTTCTCCAGGTGGTCCAGTTGTTCCGGGTGCTCCTCGAGGTCCTAGCACTCCTGGTATGCCTTTCTCTCCTTTCGGTCCTTGCGTCAAACGATAACCATCCCTTCCTGGTTTTCCACGGCGACCGGGTTCACCTGGTTTCCCTGTAATGCTTGCTAAATTGCAGAAAAAGCAAGTTATTTTTATTTAGTTTTTGAATTGGAAATGAGAACTTATTCGATTCTAAAACGAAAAGAACAATTTCCGTTTGCATCCTTGCGGTACTTGTTTAAAAGACAAGCATTGTCCAAGTTTTTATGCGTTTTTGCCTATATGCAAATTGCAAAAACGCATATTGGGACGACCCTGTCTG